AAGGGTTTCTGAGTTGTAGACACCTGTGAATAAATCAGCATGCGTTATGTAAGAGTAAAATTTGTTTGGCAACAGATATATATATGTATATGTAGTCATAGGTGTTATTTTTTAATAACTTGCTCTTAATTTTGTGAAAATTTCCATGCATTGAATTTTGAATATCCCTTTGTAAAATGTAGAATTTGGAGAAACTTCTAAAGAGTAAAACACAACCAAAGTGCAATCTGTTCTGTTTCTTCTTCAATTCATGGATACGTTTGAAAACATGTGTCTACACGACACATCTACGCAAACACACACCTGAACTTCGCTACTCTATCCGTTGGAATTTCTTATGAGATTTCTTAGAAATTTTTTTTAATCATAGGAAAAATGCCAAATGTTAATATTTCTGGAGAAACAGTACCTGCCATGTGCAAAAGCCAGGATTGACTAAAATATAAATAGAAAATTCAACATCTCCTCACCTTAAGAGGATAATCACAACAAAGACTCAACCTATGTTTTAACATGACTTTTCATTTCCCTTAGTAACACACTGAGAAATATCCTATTAACACTTCATGCAAGTCCTTGGAACTAATATTTATAATGTTCTCTCTCTGCTTTTCTCCTCCATTCATCTGTTAACTATCACAAAAACTCAAAAATCTTCGCCTGCACTATATGTCAGTGAGAGTAAAAAGGGAAAAAATAAAATAAAAAGAAAAAATAATAAGTGACTGGAGTGACTGTTGACCTTCATTTTTGCTCTTATTATATAATCACACCAATGGTGTCACACTTGACATGTGCCACTCACTCCATGAACCTACTCAGGACACGTGTCTTGGTCTACCCTTGAAAGAAATCAAATTTTCTCATAGCCGTTTCCTACTTTAAGATCAGCTAGGATGAATTAGGTTTCTTTTACTTACAGGAAGGAGGTTCAATAACCTCCTTCTATTTTTGTGGAATTCTCAATTTTTCTGAAACACCCAGTGAAATATGTTCATTTGTCAGGTATATTTCATACTTCCATTGTAATTTGATTCATAACTTTGAATTATCTTAACAATATTTAGAGTAAATTTCATTTAAAACCTGCAAGCAAATGTAAGAATTAATTTCAATATGAGTCAGTGTCTATTAATTTAAAAGGAATGGATTTTGTAACCATGAGGAAAGGGTGAAATAAATTGAAAGTACACTAAATTTTGCAACATAAAATTTACCCAGAGACTATTTCAAAACACTAGGATAGAAAAGAGAGGGCAGATTTTGGGGGGAAAACACCTACATTATTTTGTGCCAAAATATGCAGTGATATTTATAAAATGTGGTTTTTTCTTTAACAGATTATTAATGGTCTAGAAAAAATGAATTAAGGTAGAACAAAAAACAAGAAAAATACAGTAATAGCTCAATTTAAAGTAAAAAAAAAAAGAGGATGATATATTTAATTATTACTCATTGAAAAACCAGATGATGTATTCATTCTATTGATAATAAATAAACTCAGGTGAAGAGTCACTCATCATATTTATCTTCTATCTCGACACTATTTTTTCTATCTCTACTATATCCTACTCAACATCTTAATACATGTTACAGCACTGCTAATTTAGCTTTAAATAATGGGCTGAGAGGATTAAATCACTGCAGATTAATTGAAAGAGAATAACACAAAGAACATCCTGTCAGATCCCTTGGAAACTAAAGGAAGGAGGACAGGGATTAGCTTAGAAAATCCCATATGAAGAAATTAATTTTCACATGTTCTTGATAAGCAATCATCTTCCCCCCCATTGAAGACTGTTCTCCGTCTCTCCTACTTTACAGTTTTACTATTTATGGCCTAACTGTAAGATAGCATAAATCTCAAGGACCTATTGTTTTTTCTAGTCTTTCTTCCAGTTTCTCTTAGATCATGTTTGCTGGAAAGCAACTTTTGAGATGGTTTTGAGTGATGGATGTTTACTTAAGAGTGCTCTTGGGAGTTACATCTATAAAATCATTGTGGGAGCAAGGAGGAGGAGACCTTGGACTGCAAAGGAGTTCATGCATAAGTTTCAACTGATCCTGTGAGACTGGAATGGCCCCTCAAATTTGTCTCAAGTTGAGGCAACTTGGTCAGGCATTAGCATCCTACAATTGATAAGTTATTGGGTGCCCAGAGAGAGAGAGAGCAAGAAGCAAGAATGAGAGTGAGACTGAACATGAGAGAGTGAGAGATGTAGATATACCTCAGGATATGAAGTTTATTTATTTTTTGTGTGAAGTGTAAGATTTGTGTCTAGCTTCTTTATTTTACATAAGGACATCCCATTGTTCCATCACCATTTGTTGAAAAGATATCTGTCCTCTGAATTACCACCACACTTTGTCGAAAATCAATTGCCTATGTTTGTGTGGGCCCATTTTTGGATGCTACATTTTATCTTTGGAGATAATCTTTCCAAATTTGGGGTGGTTTCTTTATAATAGTGAGGTACAATTATGTACACATTAAAAAAAGACAAAGTTATCGGATACATAACAGATAACAGGAGTAACTAAATCATGTTAAGATGACATAGAGTTTGAATCAGACAGAATTGAATTTGCACTTGCATTGCTGATTATATGTATATAATATTGTCAATTTATTTGAGCCTTAATTTCTATAACTGTAAAATGAACATGATAAATACTGACTTGATAAGGTTATATTATCTAAATTATGTAGGTATCTATAATAATATTTCTCAAATGACTCAGATTTCCATGACTAAGTAGCTCTTTCCAATATTTATTTGTGTGTTTTAGATTTTATCATAATAAAAATAAATAAATAGCAGCATATTTTGGATCAACAAGATAAACTCTTTACAACCAAATACGAACACGTGAATCTTGAATTCATTGCATTTTATGTGTGAAGAAAATTTAAATTATACCATAAAAAATAGTGTAAATGAGGATTCACATATAGAAAAGAGGTAGCATTTTGACAGATTAGATTGTGCAAAGTAGATTAGGTAAGTTAAAAACAAAATATGAGATAAATATTTAACATCATAATCTATAAAATACTAACATTTCAGCAGAGTATACCAGCATGTGGCTTTATTACCAAGTTAAACAATTTTATAGTAATACTAAGTGGAAAACATTTGCATGTGTGTGTATTGAAACAATTCATATATACAATATTATTTTAGGGGGATTTAGCTAAATGTTTCTTTGAAATCATAAGTAGTGGTTAAAATAAGTACATTGTTTAAAAGGATAATTAATTTTAAAGTACAAAAATTTCAAATAATATTTATGTATTCAATATTTGTATATATTTATGCATATATACATATATAAGGCATTTTACTTTAAACAAAAGAATAAACAATTAAAAATGAAATAAAATGCTACACTTAATATAGTTGTATTTAAATGATGGTTTATAACAAGATAAATGTCTTTAATTTGATTTATATTGATTCTTAATGTTTTTTGCTATTAAGTAATATTACTTTGGTTGTATTAGTGAAATTATACTACAAGAACAAGAATTTTATTTTTGAACTTAATTTACAGTTATATTTAAATAGTATTGTGCTACAAGTATTCTAAATTTAAGTTAAACTCAATAATAATTTTAAACAAACAATTTAGAAATAATGCAGAATAAAGTTTCATCTATATAGCACCAATAATTTAGAAAACAAATTTGATCAATGAACTTAATTTTGGGGGATTTGTTTTTGGTTAATTGGATTAGTCTACATTTCCATAGGTTAGCTCTTTAAAAAATCTAGGTTTCTAGAAACACACATACAAAAAATCCAATAGAAAATAAAAATAAACACCAAACTGCAATAGGAATCATATTTTTTATGTTTTTAAGAGGAAAAAATGTATAAACGTATTGTAATTACCTTATTCTCTAAATAATTAGTAAAAGATGAAACTCATTTAATAATACAACAAATAAAAAATGTTTACTTCATATCATGTTTTTGACAGAGGAGAGAACAGGAGAACGTAAGTTTACAAAAGAAACACAAAGATGGGTAAAGAAAGATATTCTGAAAGAGAAAAAGAGTAAGACACATCAGTGACAGAAAAAAAGGACAGAGAGCAAGACATTGTCCAAAACAATAGAACAGGAAGCGTGTAAAGTGAAAGACACACAAGAAGAAGGAAGTTGAGGAAGGAATAGGGAGAGGAAAACAGTCATCACCATGTCCTCATAAATCAAAACAATCGCTCATGTGAGAAGTACTTACTGAGCTTGCTAGTATATGCTGTGCTCTGTACCAGATGCCAGGCCTGTGCTAGTGAATAAAATGAACATGATGCTTACAGTCTAGTAAAAGATCTTGTAAAAGATCAAGATAATAATCTACTTTTAAAAAGCAAGTCGGCTTTAATATAATAAATTTTCATAGTACAAAATCACAGTGTTACACTATGAAAGAGAAGAGTGGGGAAACACATGTTGTGTTTTAACTCCCAGTTTACAAAGATACACATTGGCAAAAACGATTAATAATGTTTAACTATTTTTAGTGTTTGTTACAAAAAAAGTATTTCTGTGTTAATTGGAAGTAAACAAGACTATCATATGCTAATATCTCCCTTGAATTTCTTTCTAAAACTTTCACTACTTCAGAAACAGAGAATTCCGACATCAAACATAAACATGCTTATTTTAAAATGTCCAAATACACTGTTAAATTACAATAACGTGTTTCAATAAAATTTAGAAAGTGTTTAGTCAAGTAAAAAAATGCTTAGATTTTAGACGATTCATCTTAGTCCATTTGAGCTGCTATAACAAAATCCCTTAGAATTAGTAATTTATTGCTCATAGTTCTGGAGGCCAGGGAGTCCAAGATCAAGGTGCCAACAGATTTAATATCTCGTGAGGGTCCTTCAGAGCCAGAAAATAGCTGTACAGTGGCCTTTAAATCACATATAATATTCTGGACAAAACGAAATTAAGTATTAATAGTTTTAATTTGATTTAAGTTTTACACTTGGAGAAAAATGGCTTGAAGTTTATTAAAAGATGTATTATTTTTGTTTCACATCCTTAGGATATGTCCTTTGTTTAGAGTACAATTTTACAAAGTGAAAGTTGAATGACCTTAGTGATTAGGTTTTTCATCAATGGAGGTGATTTTAGCATAAGTAACCGTGTTAACAATTCTGATAGATCTTCTCATTTTTACTTGCTTGATTTCCATGTACTATTTTCACATCACTGATCGACATCACAGATGTTCTCATTTCTTTCTAGTCCTATCAATGAAAAAATGCTGATTAGTTTTAGGGTTCATCAATTCTTTTTTTTTTTTTTAACATCCTTTTTATTGTAGCAATATTCACAGAAGCCAAAAGGCTGAAACAATCCAGATGTTTCTTGACTGATGAACACATCAAAAAATTTGACATGTACGTACAATGAAATATTATTCAGCCTTAGAAGAAGTCTTGTCACATTTTCAGATAAACTTTGAGAATATTATGTCAACTGAAATAAGCCAGTAACAAAATGATGGATACAATATGATTCTACTTATATGAGATGTCTTAAGTAGTCACACACATAGAAACAGAAAGTGGGAGGAAGGTGTTTATCAAGGGCTGAAGTGAGAGTAAAGTGGGCAGCTGTCACTTAAGGGTATTGAGTTTTAGTTTTACAGGATGTAAAATTTCTAGAGGTCTTTCGCATAACAATGTGAATATACTTAACATGCCTGAGATATACAGTTCTTTTTGAGACAGGGTTTCATTTTCTCACCCAGGCTGGAGTGCAGTGGCACGATCACAGTTCACTGCAGCCTCAAACTTTCAAGTTCAAGTGATTCTTTTTTCTCAGTCTCCCCAGTAGCTGGGACCACATGTGCACACCACCATGCCTGGCTATTTTAAAAAATTCTTGGCTAGGTGCGGTGGCTGACACCTGTAATCACACCACTTTGGGAGGCTGAGGTGGGCGGATCACGATGTCAAGAGATCAAGACCATCCTGGCCAACATGGTGAAACCCTGTCTCTACTAAAAATGCAAAAATCACCTGGGCATGGTGGCACACACCTATAGTCCTAGCTACTTGGGAGGCTGAGGCAGGAGAATCGCTTGAACCCGGGAGACGGAGGTTGCAGTGAGCCAATATCATGCCATTGCACTCCAGCCTGGCAACAGAGTGAGACTCTGTCTCAAAAGAAAAAAAAAAATTGTAGAGACAGGGTCTCCATATGTTTCCCAGGCTGGTCTCAAAATCCTGGGTTCAAGCAATCCTCTTGTCTTGGACTCCCAGCATCCTGGGATTACAAATGTGAGTCAACACCATGCCTGGCCCTAATATGTACAGTTAAATAGATGTAAGATGGCAAAATTTATGGTATGTGTTTTCACAACAATGATTTTTTAAAAGAACAACTAAAAGAAAAACAGAATTATAAATCTTTCCAAAAATTACCTTTAAGTTACAAAAGTGTTTTACACAAAGAAAATATATATTCATCATTAAACATATGATGAAAATAACGTTATTTCTATGACTTCTCACTTAGACTGGATAAAACAACCAATTAATATCCATTAAGCAAAGAAATATACAAGATCAGCCATAATCAAAATTGGGGACATATTTACAGATAAAAGCACATGAATGCATTATTTATTTATGATAGACATATGTATAAGACTTAAATGTAAAAAAGAAAAAATATTTTTGGAGGAGAATCTTGAAACTGTGAGAACTTTATAGAATCAAGAGAAATCTTATTCAAGAGCGAAAACCCAGAATCGATAAACAAAACATAAACATAACTGATACTGAAAAAAAAAAAGAGTGTTTTCCATCAGTGCAGAGTTACTGTTGAATATTATAGTTATCTAGACAATTTCTTTTCTAGTGGTACATCAATGTTGCATACCAGATTTTAGGAGTAAATATTTCTCTTATTATTGATTTGCAGTTCTATATTACTGCTTATTTTAGTGTAGGTTTCCTAACATCGGTTTGTTGTGTGTTTTGGTTTTACTTATGTATTAAATGTTTAAACAGTTTGTAGTTCTGTATGTGTGCTTCAAGTCAGTGTGGGATCTAGCTACAGGGACACTGTTCTTACAAGCAAAGTGGCGATGGGAAGAGAGAGACGTTATTTAGAGAAGTCTTACGAAAACAACCCCCCTACAAAGGTAACAGTCTACTGAATTGGACTCAATTTATTCTAACTTTAATCCACTAGGAAAGATTTGGGGAAAGGTGATAAAATTAAATAAACATACAGAACAGATTAATTTGCCTTTGAGTATGATTTTTCTCTCACTTGCACCCAGTTTTAAATAATGCAAGCACTTAAACGAGTGCTTCACTTCAGGTCCACTCAGAATATATAGCCAAAATTGGGGAAAATGTGAAATTTTAGCTAACTTGTTAAACCAACTAATGTCTACAATGGTGGTAAAATACATTAAACAACCACTTATCTAATATGGTTAAAATAAATAATTGATTATTAATTCAGAAATATCAGTCAGTTTCATCTAATATAAAAATAATTATAAAAAGGATAATTTATTTCAGTGAATACTTTCTTAGAAAAATTAGGGCCTATTAAAATTATATACTTTCACCAGTTTTTTGAGGCAGGACCAAGTGTTTTTCACTAAGCACTAAGTTCCATATTATATTTCAAAAATACATCCTTTAGATACATTTAAATGTTTTTGCTTTTTTAAAAGTACAGTGAGAATGTCAAGATGCTTAGAAAACCACCTAAGTGCATATTCTTGTGATTTTAACAGTTTAATTTTAGTCTCTGCCCCTTACCTGTTCTTGAGAACATTTTTTAAAACAACTTACCCTTATGTTAGAAGAATAGATATTTGGTAAAAGTACAGAAATAATACATGTCTATATATATTTGCATACATATAATGTATGCAAATGTATAATACATATATATACAAATACATGTATATATGTGTATGTGTATATGTGTGTGTGTGTGTGTATATATATATATATTTGCCCATATCAAATATTTCTAAATTTTCTACTTGGTTTTCCTAGGTGAAAACACACACACACACACACTCCCCAACTCTTTTTTTTTTCTTTTGTACTTATATTTTGTCAGTTGAGAGAATATTTGAACAAACAATATATATGTTTTGGAATCTTCACAACTGTCTCTTGGTGAGTGCACAACTCAACCGTTGAGAGCAGGAGAGTGTGGATGAGTTAAGTAGTGGCCAACGGGCCCTGGCCAGAAACTGTGGACAACAATGTACACAATAAAGACAATCAAAAAGAGGTAGTGATTTAGATTATCAGCTAAGAGCCCAGTTATATGATCCTCTACAGTTTCAAATCCCCATCTTATATCTACATAGAGAAGCTATAGAAATCCAGAGGCTAGCCTAAGTGTATATCTTTTTCAAAATTATCTGATTTAAATATCTGAGTACAGCATATTTAGAAACTAACCATAACAAATGTGGAATCAGACATACCTAAATTTGAGCATCAACCCTTTTTTCCTTTTTCTTTGGAGAACTTCGAAACTTTGCTTACTAAATAAATACAATAAATAAAGACAATAAATTCACAATAAAATAAATAAATGAGTATATCTTAAATTCACAATATCTAGCTACAGTGGTTTGGTTGACTATTAAACATAAAACACAAGAATTGGACTATATTGTGTGGCAGCTGATAAATGGTTAATAATTATCCTTTACAAATATCCAGAGACTTAAAGTATGATAAAAATAAAATAACCAGAATCCATGTTGGTATCTGTTTCTCTCAAAAACTTATTAAATCTCACCCAAAATGTGGTCTGGGGACTTTCAGAATCAGAATCCACTAGCAGCTTATGGAAATGCGGACTCTTAGGGCCCAGTGCTACCGATACAGCACTCACATTTTAACAAGATGCTCAGATGACTTGTGTCCCTCAGTTGACACACTAGAGCACCAGTCACACACAGGGGGACATCAGGGAATCAGCGGAGTTCCTCAGTGCAAAGGCAACTTTCCTGGGGTTTAAGTTGTAAGTTTGAGCTTTGTAGCATCACATAAGTAAGCTACTTAGGGCACTCACAGTTCTTGGTAATACTAATTCTATAAGTTCTTACTCGTATCCCTTATCATCCTCAATAGTATTGATTTAACTTACAGATGTTTAAATCTTGGGTAGTTATATATAACATATACAATCATATCCTGGAAATGACCAATAAGGCAAGACAACTTTTTGCAGCTCAGGCCCAGGTGTTTTAAAAGGGCTCAAGATTTGACATGCTGTAGTTAATAATCATTTCTCAAATTACAGTCACCTCTTGCTATTATTTTAAATGTCAACTTTGGTAAAGTCAATTTAGCCCATACATTTAGAGCTATTCTTAAGAAATAAAATTACCTAGGAAACTCAAGTGGCTCAGATATAATAGTTGTGAACTGTGACTGCGTGCATTCCATCAGTTCTTAGATCGTGTTGTCATTTCTGTGTATGTTTAAAATAATTAAAAATTTGGCCAGGTGCGGTGGCTCATGCCTGTAATCCCAGCACTTTGCGAGGTCAAGGAGGGCAGATCACAAGAACAGGAGATCGAGACCATTCTGGCTAACATGTTTAAACCCCATCTCTACTAAAAATATATACATTAAAAAAAAAAAAATTAGCAGGGAGTGGTGTTGGGCGCCAACTGGGTGTAGTCCCAGCTACTCGGGAGGCTGAGGCTGGAGAATGGTGTGAACCCAGAAGGTGGAGCTTTCAGTGAGCTGAGATCGCGCCACCTCACTCCAGCCTGGGAGACGGAGCGAGACTCCATCTTATAAAATAAATAAACAAATAAATAATAAATTAAAAATTCATATTGTATGTCTTTCTAGCAATCCACTAAAAGCCCTTATAAGTGGTTTAAAATTCTTCAATGGATGAGATATTTGAATTTATTTGTGTTACTGCTTCCAAAGATTTAAACTGTAACACAAAATTTCACTGTCATCTTCTTTAAGTTACTTAGTAGCCAAACACCTCCTTGCTAACCTAAACATTTGTGTTTCTTTTCAATCAATGGTACATTAAAATGTATCTTAAAAAATTGTATCTCTTTTCTGTTGGTTCCAGATTCATCACATTTGACCTTCAATATATCACAGAGGAAAAAAAGGTAATTTTAATACAAATTATAACCATGTAAATATTTAAAGGAGGTTTTGGCTTGCTTGAAAAGGCCAGGCATGGTGGCTGACACCTGCAATCCCAGCACTTTGGGAGGCAGAGGTGGGCAGATCATGAGGTCAGGGGTTTGAGACCAGCCTGACCAACATGGTGAAAGACCATCTTTTCTAAAACTACAAAAAAAATTAGCCCGGCGTGGTGGTACGCATCTGTAATTCCAACTACTCGGGAGGCTGAGGCAGGAGAATCACTTGAACCTGGGAGGTGGAGGTTGCAGTGAGCCGAAATCACGCCATTGCACTCAACCTGGGTAATAGAGTGAGACTCCATTTCAAAAATAATAATAATTATTATCTCTGATCCATGTTAATACAGTTTTGACTTGGAATCAAAGTTTATATAAAAATAAATAAAATGCATTAAAATGTAACATCATCCAAATTGTTTTTTTGTTTCCCAAATTTTGCTTATTTTAATTATATACTGTTGATATTCTTGAAGAGTAAACCCTAAATTTTAGGTGTTTCAAAAATTGTATTAAAATTTGCTCCTGGATGCTTATGGCATATTACTTTTTAATGAATATCTTTAAAAATTTACTATATTGATTGATTTAAATTAGCTTTTAAATAAAATAACTTATTGGCAGATGGAGATTATTTCATTTACGGGGGATGAAAAAAGATATTCCATGTTAATGAGTCCTACTATTTTGTAATTAAATAAGATTTTTTATCATTCACATTCATATTCAAATTATTTTATTTCTCTGAATTTTCAATATCAATGCCTTAATATATGCTATGCAAGTCTACAAAACTATAGACATTTAATTTCTTATATTTAATATATAATTGTCTAATCATTTATGAAATCGTATAGATACAAATGATGCTGCTTTACTGTTAAAATGTGGACATATATAATGGAACTATGAAGAAACTGTTGCATTATTATCATTATGTCTTAAATATGGATTTCGGGCATACAACTGCAGTTTTGTTATGTAGATATATACATAGTGGTGAAATGTGGGTTTTTAGCGTAACCATCGCCTGAACAATGTACATTGTATCCATTGTATTAGTCTGTTTTCATGGTGCTGATAAAGACATACCCAAGACTGGGCAATTTACAAAAGAAAGAGGTTTAATGGAATTACAGTTCCACATGGTTGGGAAGGTCTCACAATCATGGCAGAAGGCAACGAGCAGCAAGTCACATCTTACCTGAATGGCAGCAGGCAAAAAGAGCTTCTGCAGAGCAACTCCTATTTTTCAAAACCATTGGATCTCCTGAGACTCATTCACTATTAAAAGTACAGTGCAGGAAAGACCCACCCGTATGATTCAATCACCTCCCACTGGGTTCCCTCCAAGACAACTGGGAATTGTGGGAGTTATAATTCAAGATGAGATTTGGGTGGGAACACAGCCAGACCATTATCATTCCACCCCGTTCCCTCCCAAATCTCATGTCCTCACATTTCAAAACCAATCATGCCTTCGCAATGGTCCCCCAAAATCTTAACTCATTTCAGCGTTAACTCAAAAGTCCACAGTCCAAAGTCTCATCTGAGAAAAGGCAAGTCCCTTCTACCCATGAACCCGTAAAATCTAAAGCAAGTTAGTAACTTCCTAGATACAATGGGGGTACAAGCACTGGGTAAATACAACCATTCCAAATGGATAAATTGGCCAACACAAAAGGGCTACAGGAACCATGCAAGTCAGAAATCCAGCAGGGCAGTCAAATCTTAAAGCTCCAGAATGATCTCCTTTGACTCCATGTGTCACAACCAAGTCACGCTAATGCAAAAGGTGGGCTCCCAAGGCTTTGGGAAGCTCCACACCTTTGGTATATATCCAATAATAGTATTCCTGGATTGAATGGTATTTCTCTTTAGATCTTTGAGGAATTGTCACACTGTCTCCCACAATGGTTGAACTAAAAATTACGTTCCCCCCCAATAGTGTATAAGCTTTCCCCTAAGAAAAACAGGTCAAAAGTTTCTAAAGACTTGATAAAGTTAATTTTTTAACCAAATATCTATTCTTCTAAGATAAGGGCAAGTTGTTTAAAAAAATATTCAGAAGAACAGGTAACAGGCACAGACTAAAATTAAACTGTCAAAATCAACAAGAATATGCAGTTAGGCTGTTTTCTAAGCATCTTGACATTTTCACTCTACTTTTAAAAAAGCAAAAGAAAATGTTTAAATATATCTAAAGAATGTCTTTTGAAAGATAATATGGAACTTAATGCTTAATGAAAAACACTTGATCCTGCCTCAAAAAAATGGTAAAAATATATAATTTTGTTATGCCCTAATTGGTTTAAAAAGGTGTTTATTAAAATAGTGTCCTTTTTATAATTAGTTATATTTATATCAGATGAAACTAATGGATTTTTCTGATGAACAATCAATTATTTATTTTAATCATATCAGATCGGTGTCTGTTTAATTTTACCACCACTGTAGACATTTGTTTGTTTAGCTATTTAGCAAAAATTTCAAACTTTCTCCATTTTCAGCTATTTATCATAAGCCAGAAGTGAAGCACACATTTAAGTATTTGTAGTATTAAAACCTGGGTGCATGTGAGAAAAGATCCTACTCAAAGGCAAATGAATCTGTTCTGTATGTTTATTTAACTTGACCACCTGTCCCCAAATTTTTCCTATTCCACATACTGTCTCTTCACTTTGTTGATTGCTTCCTTTTCTGTGCAGAAACTTTTAAATATAGTGTAGTCTCATTTGTCTCTTTTTTATTTGTGTTCCTGTGTTTTTGAAGTTTTAACCATAAAATATTTGCCTAGAACAATGTCCTGAAGCATTTTCCTTATGTTTTCTTCCAGTAGTTTTATAATTTTGGGTCTTATATTTAAGTCTGTAATCTATTTCAAATTGACTTTCCTGTACAGTGACAGGTAATGGTCCAGTTTTCTTTATCTGCATATGAATATTCAGTTTTCCGAGTACCGTTTATTGAAGAGACTCTCCTTTTCCCATGTATGTTCTTGGTGCATTTGCTAAAATCAGTTGGCCACAAATATGTGGATTTATTTCTGGGTTTTATTTACTGTTCTATTGGCCTGTGTGTTTGTTTTTATATTAGCTATTCATCTAATAAGGGGCTAGTATCCATAATGTACAAGGAACTCAAACAATTAGCAATAATAATAATAAGGCAAATAGCATAAATATTTCTTAAAAGAAGACATACAAAAACCCAACAAATATATGAACAAATGCTCCACATCACTAATCATCAGGGAAATACAAATCAAAAATACAATGAGATATCATCTTACCCCAGTTAGAATGGCTACTATCAAAAAAGTAAAAAATAAATGCTGATGACAATGTGCAAAAAAGGGAACTCGTATGCACTATTGGTGGAAATGTATTATAAATTAGAAGAACCATTATAGAAAACAGGATGGAGTTCTCTCAAAAAACTAAAAATAGAACTATCAAATGATCCAGCAACCCTACTACTGTGTATTTATTCAAAGGAAAGGAAATTAGTATATCCCAGAGATACCTGCGCCCCCATTTTTATTATATCACTCTTCATAATAGCTAAGACATGGAATCAACCAAAATGTTTATTAACAGATATATGGATAAGTAAAATGTGATACATATACACAATGGAATTTAGCCATAAAAAGTATACTATCCCATCATTTATGGCAACATGGATGAGCCAGGAGGCCATTATGTTAAGTAAAACAAGTAAGGCACAGAGAGATAAATACCACAAGTTCTCAGTCATATTCAGGCTAAAAAAAAATTTAGATCATGGAAATAAAGAATAAAATTGTGAGCATTAGAAGCTTGGAGGAATAAGGGGAGGGGTGGTTGGAGAGAGGTTGGTTAGTGGATACAAAATTACAGCTAGATAAAAAGGATAAATTCTCATGTTCAGTTGTGTATGTTAAATATGGTTAACTATAGTTTATTGTATATTTTCATAAAGCTAGAAAAGAGGAGTTTGTTCACAACACAGAGAAATAATCAATGGTTTGCTGATGGATATGTTATGAAAATTACTCTGGTTTATTTATTACACATTGTATACATTTACAAAAATATCATTTTGTATTCCACAAATATGTACAATTATATGTCAATGAAAAATAAAGTAAAATTTTAGAAATAAACATAGATTACAGAAAAGACACTCTTTTCAATAAATGCTGCTGGGCAAACTAAATATCCATATTCAGAAGAATGTAGCTGGTCTCTTGTCTCTCACTGTCTACAAAATCAACTCAAATGGACTTAAGTTTAAGACCTATAACAATAAAAGCAGTAGAAGAAAACAGAGAAAATGCTTCATGACCTTGGTCTGACCAAGGGTTTTTTGGATAAGACCTCAAAAGCACAAGCAACAAAATCAAAAATAGAAAAACGGTATTACATCAAAAACAAAGCTTCTACACAGCAAAGGATACAATCAACAGAGTGAAGAAATGAAACCCAGAATGGGATAAAATATTTGCAAACTATGCATGTGGCAAGGAGCTAATATCCAGATACCATAAGGAACTCTAACAACTCAACTTTTTAAAAGTAATCTAGTTTTATAAATGGGTAAAACATGTGAGTAGACATTTCTCAAAAGAAGACACACAAATAGCCAACAGGTATATGAAAAAATGCTCCACGTCACTAATCATAAGAGAAATACAAATCAAAACCACAATGAGATAGTACCTTATTCCAATTAGCTATTATCAAAAAGATAAAAAAAAAATGCTGGCATCAATGACACTTAAGATACTATTGAAGGGAATGCAAATTAATTCAACCATTATGGAAAACAGTTTTGAGACTTCCCAAAAAATTGAAAATAGAACTACCAAAGGACCCAGCAATCCCACTGCTGTGTATATATCCAAAAGAAATAAATCAGTATATGGAAGATGTATCTACACTACCATGCTTATTGCAGTTCTATTCACAATATCTAAGATATGGAACCAGTATAGATATCCATCAATGAATGAGTGGATAAAGATAATACGGCATGTATACACAATGGAATACTATTAGCCATTAAAATGAATGAAATCAAGTCATTTGCAACAACATGGATTAACCTGGAAGACATTATGTTAAATTAAATAAGCCAGGTACAGCAAGAAAAATACCACACGATCTCACTCACATTTGGACTCTAAAAAAGTTTATTTCACAAAAGTAGAGAGTAGAAAAGTGGTTACCGGAGACTGAAGAGGATAAAGAGAAACGATAAGGGATAGGGAGAGATTGGTAAATGTGTACAAAATTACAGTTAGATAGAAGGAATCAGTTCTGGCGTTTTATTGCACAACAATAGGGTGACTGTGGGTAACAATATTGTATTATTTATTTCAGAATAACTAGAAGATGACTTTGAATGATCTCTGCACAAAGATAAATGTATAGAGATGTGTATACTAAATACCCCGATTCAATATTTACACAATGTATACACACATCAAAACATCACATCGTACCCTATAAATATGTCAATTCAGAAAAGGTAGAAAAATTTTATAACAGGCCGGGCTCGGTGGCTCACGCCTGTAATCCTAGGACTTTGGGAGGCCTAGGCGGGCGAATCACGAGGTCATTCAAGACTAGCCTGACCAACACAGAGAAAACCCGTCTCCATTTAAAAAATACAAAAGAAATTATCACTTACATTCATAAATCTAGTATTAAGTCAGGGAATTAGGATACAAGCCCACCTCTTTCCGAACTCTAATTTCCAAATTTTTAAGCCATTTCTTATAAATGACTTCAATTATACCAGTTCTGACCCTCCTCATTCCTAGACCTTAGGTTTGTTCCTCACCCCGCTTTCCATAGGCACAGGAGTCGTGCTTTATGAATGAGAGATCCGTTATATTTTCAGTTGCTGACTCTGAGTACAGAGTAAACCGGAACTTCTCCCCGACCCCTGTCATTCATTCAAGGAACAGAAGATGTTTTCGGTATGTCTGGTTTTGTTTCTATTACGATGTTTTGAGCAGACTCTAGTAAACTTTTATTCTTTTATAAAAGTTTATTCTTTTATAAAAGTTTTATTCTTTTATCCCATTCTTCACAGGCTGATTATAGATATTATGCACAATTGTGAGAGAAGTGAAATAGATGCGTGAAGAGTGCTGAAGTGGGGTTAGAGGGCAAAACAAAAATGTAGTTAAAATACATAGTTTATTTCTTGTAATTCGGGTGCTAGAAGCTTGCAAATATTAAGTGTCTGCTTCCGTCACTCGCTGTATTAATAAAAAGAGCATTTTTTAATTTGATTGACACTCATACAATCTTAGAATACTTGTAGTTTTGTTTCATTTGATTTGTTCTGGAAATTATGTCTCAGTTTGAAAAGTTAAATTGGGCCGGGCGCGGTGGCTCAAGCCTGTAATCCCAGCACTTTGGGAGGCCGAGACGGGCGGATCACGAGGTCAGGAAATCGAGACCATCCTGGCGAACACGGTGAAACCCCGTCTCTACTAAAAAAAAATACAAAAAACTAGCCGGGCGAGGTGGCGGGCGCCTGTAGTCCCAGCTACACAGGAGGCTGAGGCAGGAGAATGGCGGGAACCCGGAAGGCGGAGCTTGCAGTGAGCTGAGATCCGGCCACTGCGCTCCAACCCCGGCGACAGAGCGAGACTACGTCTCAAAAAAAAAAAAGAAAAGTTAAATTGGCCAGGACATTTAATTCACACAGGTGTGCATATCAAGAAACCACTTCCTTTGTTCTCATTTCTTAGACGATTCTTTCCAATTGTAATATTTAAATTTATAAGAACCTTATTCCCTTAATAGCAAATCACAGTTTTGACAAATCTGTTGATTTCAAGAAACCAAACTTACTAGCTTTTGCAAGTCTGTATTTCACCATTAGTTTAAATTGCAGAAGTCTTTTGGGGGAAGATAATTCATCACCCTGTATGCCTGTTTCTTTCTACTTCAAAAATAGAGTTACGTCTGTAATTTTGAACCCTTTAGTGATTATAAGCTCAGAACTTTAGAGAATTGTACTCTGCTATATGGAAATATCTTTACAGTTTTGTTCCATATTTTAAATTGTTAAGGTTAAGCCAATAAATTCCAGAATTTGAAACTCTACCATATGAAAATTAGATATGCCAAAAGAAAGTAACGTCCATTGCTGGAAATGGAGTGAATGAGGATATATCTACCATGGTAGACACTTCCATGTGTGTTATAGAATATTTATTCTATAGTGCTTAATTTCCTCCTTCCCTAAGTTCAACTCATTTGGAAACATGACATTAGAAATGAGTGAGTAAACAATTATATAAAAATGCAGAGAAATTTATAGTTTAGGTAGGCTGTTATTGTGATAATAGCTTAATTATTGCTTAATTCACTTTTTACTAAAAAATATCTTAAGTTTGTAACTTATAAATGCTTTTTACATAATCCTTGGATGGTTCACTTTTGCAACAGTAACATTTCACTATTTATGCTCATATAAAAGTTTTAAAATATTAAAATTTTTATTATTTTTGTGGAATGTTTTCTTTCACATGATTGCAAATTAAATTGTTAATAATTCATTTCTCATTTTTATAATACAGCTGTGCCAACCAGATACACTCAAGGAAATGTTATTTACTAGTTTCTAAACACAAATATATAAACAATATCAGTTATTTTAAAAATGAGAAATTATCACAAATTCTTGCAAGGGGCTTATGAATCTAACTACATTCATTTGACAATTTCAACCTAAATCTGCTAAATTGTATAATTTTAAAATACTTTAACATGTACATTACATCTTTAATATATGTGTTAAAACTTTAGTATTCACCTAAATCATTATTTCAAGCTCCAGAATGTAGCCATATGGACCATTTTGATATTAATTATTTTCATCAGGTATTGAAATCTCAATCAGCCATTGATTGAGATTGACAAACCTGGAAATTAGGGGCGTTTTGCATTGAATGCTAGTTGTGGAAAATAATGTTACATATTTTGACATAAAATAAAAGTGAAAAGCCTTTGGGCTGAGTATAATTTAGTTTTTTAGATCCTCTGCAGTTTTATTAGAAGCAGATATATCCAAGAGTTCTTCCTATTAATGTCATTGATTTGAAGTAATGGGAAACATCAATTTAATTTAGAAATATAAATTCAGGTACATATTCATCCACTTTGCAGGTTTCATTGAACTGACTATTGCAATTTTCTAGAAACTATGAAGGATAAAGCAAAAAAGGTGGAAAATGAGACCTCGATGCATAGAACTGCAAAATTCAATTGATGACCCTCAGTCACATTTCTTGTCAGTGAAGACAAAGGTATAATGTGAAAAATCCTATAAAATACGCAGAAAAAAATATCTCACTGAAAGACAGGGAGGTGAATTTTTTTTATAGTCCTATTTCTTTGGCTTTCACAGGATGAATAGACGCACAGCATCATTTACTAAGAATAGAACTGAAAGACGGGATCAGATTGTCTTTTACACTTTTGCAAGCCTTCTTTATTTAAAACAGTCTGTGGCATATTTCAGAATTTGTATTCTATATTGTATTTGCATTGAAATTTTTTATTGCTTTACAGATCAAATATTTATTCTACTAAGTCAACTGAATTTTTAGAGTACCAATTTCTTCAGATTCAAGGTTAGTGTTAAAAATTTAATTCTTACACATATTTGTCTCTGACATTTTCAAATAAGATTAGAAATATATGTGTAAACAGATTTTTTGCAGACATTGACCAACAGTTATGTGACACATTTCAACAGAATATGAGTTTTCGACATTCACTTCCACCACGTGTTGAAAAGGCACTCATAAATTTAAAAAACATTGTGAATTATTATTTTGCTAATATGTATCCAAGGATAAATTCATAGTTCTGGATGAGAAAGGGGATGATATTACTTGTAGATACATCTCCTTAAAAAGTCTGATGAATTTAATAGTTTTATAATTCATTTTTGATAATTCAGAGGTTCACATAGCACTGCTATATTTTTTTGTCTTCACCATTGTCTACCTGTTTTACCCACTTCGTTGATCAGTAATATCTTAAATATTACACAAGAGGAAAATTTAAAGCATGTACATAGTGAAAGTCAATGTAATAATTCTAAAATCGTTTTTATGAAAGTTTGTTGAGAAAAAATAAGACAAACTGACTTGTAAAGAAAAACAATATTATTATTTATATATTTAAATTTCAAATTCTATTTTGTTATTATATAGTTAAAATGAAATTAAGACACTAATTCTATATTTTATTCTGCACTAATTTTCACTCAACTCTCATAATGTAACAGCATAAAAGTGAAACTCAATAGCTGCTATTAATTCTTTTAATTAGGCATTATGGCATTCTATGCTTTAATCCTATTTGTTTTATACAGTAATGTCTTGGACTAAATCACATAAAATGTACTTTTCTGGTTATCCTCCTCCAAATAAACACTGATCCCCTAATTAGTTAATTAAAGAATGAATTATGTTATGGATTATTTATTAATGAGTCAAAGTTACTTTGGCTAATTGTGTAAATACAGGTAAAGTTGGTAATCTGTCTCATTTCTCTCATCTCTAACATTGGAAACATGACAGAACCTGCTACTCTTGACTTTGTAAGTATTCAATCTGCTAATCTAGTTAATGTGTATCCACAGTAACCAGGTAATACATAGTAGGTGTGGTTATAAGGTAACTATTGTCATAGCAAATGTATGAACATAAGACTGCTATCTCTGGCATGTCTCTGTAATGATCCATTACTGAGAGTCCACCTAGTTTATTTCACCAGAGACAAAAGTACGTATACTTTTTAAAATATTCTGAAACATACTGTTTTTGTTTTCTTTCCTGCAACTTACCCTGGTATTAATTTATTCTGAGCCATAATTATGCAACCTTAACTTGACTATAATTAATAGCAATAATGTCTAGATTTTGGCAGCAACTGAGGGTTTATTCTCCAAAATCAATTTGCAGAACATATTTATTCCTTCAGTTTGCATAGATGATAGCCCAAACATGAAGTTTCTCTCAGCTAGTAATTTAGCACAGGCAGGAAGAAGCAAATAGATATCATGGTTTGAATGCCATAATATTATTTGTTCCTTCTCAATTATGTTTCTGCAACAGAAAGATTTTTTAACAAATTACATAAATAGAACTTTAAAAAGTTTGAAACATCTGTATTTTCACCTGAACAGAAGATAGTTGCACTCCTGCTGAAGGTGTGGTTTTTAAAAACTATTTGTAATTATGTAATAAATATGGGACATTCATCATACTCTTTGAATGTAAAATTAGATGTCTGTGTTAGGCATGTTGATCAAGCACCATTTAGTGTATCATGAGATTTACAGGAAAATTCATGGAAAAACTGAGAAGCCTTTAAGTCAGAGACATGATGATATGTTCAGTATATTAAATAAGTACTGAATTAAGGAATAAAACCAGGTGAGCTAAGTGAATGACAGCTACCCCAAATACAGTTAATTTTTCCACTTGCATTTCTTGCAAAGTTATTAATTTATTCATTCACTTATAAAACATTTACTCAACTTTTGTTGGGAGCTAGGCCTAGACTAGGAACAACAACAACAACAAGAAAAGAGAATAGTGAAAAAAATAACATCTTTCTGGGGAGTTTTAAAAGCAGCAGATAAGAGAGAAAATGAATAAGAACACAAAGTCCTATGAGAACCTGAGGGTGCCATGGGAGGATTTAAGGAGTAGAGTCTGCTTAAATAGCAATAGAATCTGTGGGATTAGGAGCAGGCCCTAGTTTTTCTGAAACTCACTTTGTTAGTCTGAATGAGCTGACCATTTGCAGTAATTAGTCATAAAATTATCATTATTTATCTTGATAGTTATTGAAATATGAAAAACATTAAGATATCTTTTATTTACCTCTGAAATTCAGAAACATGTAGAATTTGAATGTTCCTAGCATGGTTTCAGATTCAAATACATTTTTAACATTATCATAATATATTCAAAAGATTCTTGATCCATGTCAAAATACATTGATTTAAATTTGAGTTTAAATACTGGATTCACCCCTACTTCAGCTACTCCTGACCTTTCTCACCCATGTTATTTTTTAGAAAAGTTTGTTTTTTTTTTTTTTTTTTTTTTTAGCGGGCAAATTTGCCCCATCTGGAAATATGGAAGACAATATCTGAAGATAGTTTTCATTGTCACAGTCTGAAGGATGGTGCTATCAGCATCTAGTGGACAGAGGACAGGGATGCTGCAAAACATCCTATGATGTGTGTATATCTCTACACAACAAAGCATTATCCAACCCCAAAGTTTCTAAAGTCCCAAGGTTGAGAAAACCAGCTTTTGGAAAAATAATCATCTTTTTTCTCCCTTAATTCACGTCAGTGTTTTCCCACTCTGACACAGAATATTAAGGAGATTTATTTTAAAATATTAACTATTGAGCTTATTAATGTATTTATATATACAAATTGCCCAATTTGTAACACCCACAAATTAGCTGTATATACATTTATTCATTAGTTTAACAAATATTAATCAAAGGTCTACTATGTGTTAGTCATTCTGCTCTTAATACAAAAAATGTACAAAACCTCAGCCCTTTTCATAGAAATAAACAAGAATTATTGAAATGCTTTGCAATATGTATTGTTTAAATAATTTCTTACTTGAATATATTTTAAAGCCTAGGGTGATGTCATTAGGCACATTTCAATATACACGCTTCCTCAGAGATATTGCTAATTTTGGTTCCTGAACACCACAGTAAGATGAGTCGCATGATATTTTCATTACCCGGTGCATATAAAAGTTATATCTACACTATACTGTAGCCTATTAAGTGTATGATAGCTTGATCCCTAAAAAGGTACACATGTTCATTAAAAATAATTTATTGCTAAAACATGCTAACGATTATCTGAGCCTCCAGTGAGTTATAATCCTTTTGTTTTTGGAAGCTCTCATCTTAATAATAACTGCTGACTGATCAGGGTGGGGGTTGCTGAGGGTTAAGATGACTATGGTATTTTTTTTTAATTTCAACTTTTATTTTAGATATAGAGGCTCCATGTGCAGCTTTGTAACGTGGAAATGTTGTGTGATGCTGAGGTCTATGTACAGATCCCATTACCTAGGTAGGGAGCACAGTACTCAAAGGGCAATCTTTCAATCCACACCCTCCTCCTTCCCTCCCCACTATAGTAGTCCGCAGTGTCTATTGTTCCTGTATTTGTGTCCATGTGTGCTCAATGTTTAGCTCCTACTTATAAGTGAGTACATGCAGGATTTGGTTTCCTGCTCCTGGGTTAATTTGCTTAGAATTATGGCCCCTGGCTGCATCCATGTTGCTGCAAAGAACATAGTTTCATTCTCTTTTGGGGCCATGTAGTGTTCCAGGCTGTGTATGTACCACATTTTCTTTATCCAGTCTACAATTGGAGGGCTCCTGAGTTAATTTCGTGTCTTTTCCATTGTGAATAGTGTAGTAATGATCATATGAATGCATGTCTTTTTGGTAGAATGACTTATTTTTCTTTGGGTAAATAAAGAATCCTAGTAATGGGATTGCTAGGTTGAATGGTAGCTTTGTTTTAGGTTATTTGAACAAACTTAAGACTGCTTTCTACATTCCCACAAACAGTGTGGAGTCTTTTCCCTGCAGCCTCACCAACATCTGTTGCTGTATGAGTTTTTTTTTGTTTGTTGTTTTTCGTTTTTTTTTTCTGAGACGGAGTCTTGCTCTCTCGCCCAGGCTGGAGTGCAGTGGCGCTATCTCGGCTCACTGCAAGCTCCGCCTCCCAGGTTCCCGCCATTCTCCTGCCTCAGCCTCCCGAGTAGCTGGGACTACAGGCGCCGCCACCACGCCCGGCTAATTTGTTGTATTTTTAGTAGAGACGGGGTTTCACCGTGTTAGCCAGGATGGTCTCCATCTCCTGACCTCGTGATTCGTCCGCCTCGGCCTCCCAAAGTGCTGGGATTACAGGCGTGAGCCACGGCGCCCGGCTGCTTTATGAGTTTTTTAAAATAGCTATTCTGACTGGTGTGAGATGATATCTCATTGTGGTTTCGATTTGCATTTCTCTGACGATTAGTGATGCTGACCATTTTTTCATGACTGTTGGCCACTTTTATATCTTCTTTTGAGAAGTGTCTGTTAAGTCCTTTGTCCATTTTTCATGCAGTTACTTGCTTTTTGCCTGTTGATTTAAGTTTCCTATAGACTCTGAATATTAGGCCTTTGTAGAATGTATACTTTGTAAGTATCTTCTTCCTTTCTGTAAGTTGTCTGCTTACTCTGTTGATAAGTTTCTTTTGTGCAGAAGCTCTTTAGTTTACTTAGGCCCCACTTGTCTATTTTTGTTTCTGTGGAAATTGCTTTTGGAGACTTAAGAAAAAAATTTTGCCAAGGCCAATGTTGAGAAGAATATATTCTAGGTTATATTTTAGGATTTTTAGTTTATTATCATTATTATTTTTAGAGACAGGGTCACATCTTGTTAACCAGGCTGAAGGCAGTGGTACAATCATATAACTCACTGCAGCCTCGAACCCCTGAGCTCAAGAGATCCTCCCATCTCAGCCTTCCAAGTAGCTGGAACAACAAGTGCATGCCAATATGCCCAGTTAATTTTTAAAAAGTAAAAATTTTGCGTGAGTCTAGATCTCACTATGTCATCCAGGCTGAGCAATTTTTTTAAGATAAAACAACAATGAGGTTCACTGCATCAGCTGACTCTTACTTTTATAAAACTTTTTTGTAGCATGCAATAATGTTTGGTAGAAGTTCTACCTATAGTAAAACTTTTGTCAGAATTGGAATCAATTCTCTTCAACCCTGCTGCAGCTATACAAACTAACTTTATGTAATATTCTAAATCCTTTGTTGTCATTTCAACAATGTTCGCATCATCTTCACCAGAAGTAGATTCTATCTGAATAATTCACTTTCTTTGTTCATTCATAAAAAGTAACTCCTCAACAATTCAAGATTTATCATGAGATTGTAGTAATCTCATGATAGTAACTCAGAGATAGGCAATAACTCTGCAATTACTTCCTCCACTAAAGTCTTTAACACCACAAAGTCATACATGAGAGTTGAAATCAACTTTTTCCACACTAATATAAATGTTTATATTTTTACTTCCTTGTATGTATAGCAAATATACTTTTTGACATCTAGAATGGTGAATCTTTTCCAGAAAGTTTTCAAATTACTTTGCCCAAATCCATTAGAGAAATCAGCATTTATGATAGCCTTATGAAATGTATTTCTTAAATAGATAAGACTTGAAAGTCCACATTACTCCTTAAGACATGGGACAAAAATTGCTGTTGTGTTTGCAGGCATAAAAATAATACGAATCTTTTTGTAAATCTCCATCAGAGCTGTTGATGAACAGATACGTTGTCAGTGAACAATGATATTTTGAAAGAATTCTTTGATTCTGAGCAGCATGTCTCAACAGTGGGCTTCAGGTATTCAGTAAATCAAACTGTAAACAGATATGCTTTTATCCAGTCTTTGCTGTTTCCTTTATGGAATACAGGGAGAGGAAATTTAGTGTCATTATTAACGGCCTTTGAATTTTCAGAAGGTAAATGAACAGTGGCTTCAACTTAAAGTCAACAGATTCATTAACCCCTAACAAAAGAGTCATCCTGTCATTTGAAGCTTTGAAGCTTGGCATTGATTTCTCCTCTCTAGCTATGAAAATCGTAGATTGCATCTTTTCCCAAAGGCTGTTTCATGTATATTTGAAATCCACAATTTAGTGCAGCCACGTTCATCAATGATCATAGCTAGATCTTCTGGATAATTTGCTACAGATCCTACATCACCACATGCTGCTTCACCTTTCACTTTTATGTTATGGAGATGTCTTCTTTCATTAAACCTCATGAACCACCCTCTTCTAGTTTCCAAATTTTCCCTCAGCCTTCCCTCAGCCTGTCTTCCCTCAGCCTTCACAGAATTAAAGAGAATTAGGGTCTTGGTCTAGATTAGGCTTTGGCTTAAAAGAATGTTGTGGCTAGGTTGATCTTTTATTCAGACTACTCAAACTTCCTCTATATCAACACTAAGGGTGTTTCACTTATCATTCACGTGTTCATTGGAATAGTACTTTTCATTTCCTTCAAGAACTTTTCCTTTGCGTTTACAACTTGGCTACCTGTTTGGCACAAGAGGCCTAACCTTGGGCTAATCTCTGCTTTTCACATGCCTTCCTCACTAAGCTTAATCATTTCTAGCTTTTGATTTGAAGTGACTGATGTGTGACACATTCACTTCAACACTTCAAGGCCATTGTAGGGTTATTCATTGGTCTAATTTTAATACTGTTGTGAGTCCAGGAACAGGGAGGCCTGAGGAGAGGAGAGGGCAAGAGACAAGGAAATGGCCAGAACACACATGACATTTATGGATTACGTTTGCCATCGTGTATAGGTGTAGGTCGTGGTGCCCTAACAATTACAATAGTAACATCAAAAGTCACTGATTATATATCATCATACAGACATTATAATAATAATGAAAGTGTTAAATGCTGTGAGAATTACCAAAATGTGACATAGACACAATGTAAGCACATGCTGTTGGAAGAACGATGTTGATAGACTTGTTCAATGCAGGGTTGACATAAACTTCAATTAGTAAGAAATGTAGTATCTGCAAAGTGCAAAAAAGTGAAGGACAATTAAAACTCTTTGTATATGTAGACATGAGTAACTAGAATATAATTTATCACAAAAATTACACCTAATTTTATTATTTTAAAACCTCATTTTAAACTATTTTCCATCTCTTATTACCAGTGTAATATGATACAACCTACTTACTACGAGTACCTTATGAAGGTCAATTAAGCTTTAGAAACTATGCCACAAGCACAATTGCTAGTTCCTATCATATTTTCTTCCTAATTGATTTTAAACTACCAATTTTTGTTAGTTCTCCTTCGCTCAGAATACTTATTTAATGTGCCAAGACTAATATAATACCATAGCTATCATCAAATTAAATAGTTTCCTAAACATGGGAAAGAAACCATGCCTGAAACTATTTATTAAAATATATGTGGCTATTTTCGCATGATAAATACAAACTATTTGTGAAATAAATTCTACTTAAGATAATTGTATGCATTTTCTCATGCATAATGTGACATTATTACACTCATTTTTACTTTCCTATTCTCCATATAGATGTTTAATTGTATTGATTTGTGTTACCTCAATTCCCACCAAGTTTCTGTAGAGACATTAAATTTCTATGCAATCTCATAAGTGTTGTTTTCTGAAGGTATGAGCAAGTAGATTCATGTTCCACGTCTAGCGAATAGTGTATAAAATATACTTTCAGGTCTATCATATAACATAATCATTTTTTCTCTTAAAATATGGCTTATATTAGTTCCCAGCTATTTCTCAATAATACCTAAGTCTGAACTATTATTGTCAGTTCTGCCAGTAAATAATGCCAGCATGGGAAATATGTTATCTCAATATTATCTTCCTGTTCCATTATAGTAAGAATACACATAATTTGTGAATGAGGAAGGATGGAACTTAAAAATTACAACCAAGTAAAAACTGTAAAGCCTTTTCCTGTCATCTGATCACACTAAAATGTTTATTCAAATGTTTAAAATGTATAAACTCACTGAGCTCAAAGTAAAAATATGAAATGATGTGGGATTACAGAGCAGATAACAAATGGTCAAGAACCTGTTTTGTTACTTTGTTTTTATCCTTCATGTTAAAGAATTAATGGATAATGCTATCATAATTATTTAGTTACAAACTCTATTGGAATTGGAAAATGTGAAGACATAATCTCTTTAGAAAGAAATGTGATAAGATATTTTCTACTCTGGCTTGAGAATACCATGCAGCCTCATTAATATATCTTGTTCTTGAATCATGGACATCTCTAATTGGATCTGCTGAGAGACAGGCTGGAAAGAGTTAGTAGAGTAGGTTGTCAGAAATAAATAAAAAAGTGACTGGGATATCCAAGTGCTAACTCATTGACATTTTGGGAAATTGTCTTCAGATAAAAAAAGAAATTGGGGAACAAGCAGAGAAGAAAAATACAAGGAGTAAGAAGAGTCCTGGAGAACATTTCAATGATTTGAAGCAGAGGGAAGAATATCAGATATCATGGAAAATAAAGAGAATAGGGATGGCTGTATTTATCTGGAAAGAGGTAGCTAGGTGGTTGGGGCAAACTGGGGGATAGTTTAGAAGTGGATCTAATATCCAGACAGCAATTCCTATTCAATTATTGTCACAGAAGAACAGTGTTTAGACTAAAGTCATGTTTTCTGAGACCCATGACAATTAGAGAAAATGTTCCTTCCTTTTTTGATGTTGTCAAAAACAATTCTCCAAGAGCTAACAGTATTTTCTTTCTTTGCACACCCTTAACACCCAGAATGTAGCGAGGTAATTTTATGCACAGGCTATACTTGCTTCTAATGCCTAAAGTTGTCCAACTACACTTTTATTTCTGTGGATATGTAGGCTGCCCTGGTGAAATGCTAGTAGCCCAGAGAGAAGTAACACATTGGCTCATTTTCAGTCAATAATATCCACTACAAAGTAACAAAACAAATCATTCTGCAACATTATTGAGAGAAAATTTCCTAGAAACTGTTGATGGATGGTGAAGAGAGAAAGAAAACTGAGGATGAGTGAAAAGGAGAGAAAAGAAAAGAGGAATTTGGAAAGAACTAACAGTGCTAGTAATACTCATGTTCTGAGTAGGTAGAAGGCAACATGTCACTACTGATGTTTAGTTGTGGGAAGAAGAGAAGAATTGCAGTAGGAGAAAAAGTGCATTTAAGATAACCACAGTCTAGACCAAAATTTTAATTAAGGCTTAGTTTGTGTTTCAAGATATTTTCTTTTTGTTAAAACTAAGGTAAAACTTAGTGATCCACTTTATATAAACTTAAGTCTCACTAGCTTTATTTTGCCGATTACCTCAATTATGTGCCTCATTTTTGTATGTTCTTTTTAAATCCAGGTATTAAATAATTCTAGGCCATTTTACAGAAAGGAGATACTATAATAACTACTTTTTGGATCTGAAAATACAGCCATGCTCTGAATAACAATGTTTTGGTCATTGATGTACCACATATATGAAGGTGGTCCGGTAAGATTATAATGAAGCTAAAAATGCCTGTTGCCCAGATACATCTTAACCATTGTAAAGTCATAGCACAATTCATTATTCACAACGTAGTGTGCTTCCAGTTGCATAAAGGTATTGCACATACAATTATGTACAGTACATACTACGTGATACTGATAATAAAGAGCTATGTTATTGGTTTATGTATTTACTATAATTTTATTGTTATTTTAGAGTGTACTCCTTTGACTTAGATTTAAAAAGTTGACTGTAAAGCAGCCTTAAGTAGGTTTTACAGGAGGTATTGCAGAAGAAGAAATTGTTATTATAGGGAATGATGGCTGCAGACATGTTATTGCCCCTGAAGACCTTCCAGTGGGACAAAATGTGGAGATGAGAGACAGTGATATTTGATGATCCTGCCCCCGTGTAGGGCTAGGCTAATGTCTGTTTCTGCTTTAATTTTTAATTTAAAAGTTCAAAAAGTAAAAAAATAAAAAAATGTAAATATAAGAAGAAGCTTATAGAATAAGGATATAGGGGAAATGTTTTATACAGCCATACCATGTATTTGTGTTTTAAGCTAAGTGTTATTACAAAAAATTTGAAAAGTCATAAAGTAAAAAAGCCATAGTGAGGTTAACTTATTATTAAAGAAAAAAGTTTTTATAAATGTAGTGTAGCCTAAGTGTACAGTGTTTATACAGCCTATAGCCATGCACAGTAATATCCTAGGCCTTCTCAGTCATTCACCCCTCACACGCGGACTCACCCAGAGCAATTTCCAGTCCTGCTACCTCGATTCATGTTAAATGCTCTACATAAGTCTGATAATATTTTTGTATCTGTTATACTATGTTTTTACTGTACTATATTTAACTATGTTTAGATACATAAATATTTACTGTTGTATTACAGTTGCCTACAATATTCAGTGCAGTAACATGCTGTACAAGTTTGTAGCTTAGGAGCAATAGTCTATACCTCATAGCCTAGGTGTGTAGTAGACTGTACCATCCTATTCTGTGTAAAGTACACTCTGTGATGCTCGAGCAATGGAAAAATGACCCAGGAGTGTATTTCTCAGAAAGTGTCTCCCAGTGTTAAGTGCTGCATGACTGCGTATAAAATTAACTAAGTGATTTTCAATGTAGGTGACATCAGGCTATGAATTATTCGAAAATGCCCAAAGGCATTTTTGTTCTCACAATGACAAAAAGGCTCTACCAGAATAGAATGGGTGAGACTCAGGAATGCTAAACAAGTAGTAATTGGCTGTTCAGTTTGGCATAACCCAAATGTTCAGAAAACTTTAAGCTAATATAAATAATTAGGAAATGGCAGACACCGTTAACTCACTGATCTAATTTACTTCCACAATCTCTTTTTCTCTGAGTACATTCCATTTAGAGGGGTGTGTGTGACACATCTCCTAGTAATAAGACAAGACTGGAAGTCAGCTTTGTAAGACCTCTGAGCACATTTTGCTTTTTTTTTTTTTCCTTCAAGTTTTATTTATTTAACATAACATCTGCAGATATGTTACATGGAAATATTGTATGATGCTAAAGTTTGGGGTAACTTCAGTTTGGGGTAAAAATTCTGTCACCTAAGTTGTGAACATAGTACCTGATAGGTAATTTTTTAATTCCAACCACCCCCGCCACCACCCTCTGAGTTGGTTGTCTCTATTGTTCCCATAATTATGTACATGAGTGCTGAATGTTTAACTCCCACTTAGAAGTCATAACATGCACTATTTGGTTTTCTGTTTCTGTCTTAATTTGCTTAGGATTATGGCTTCCAGCTCCAACTACATTGCCACAAAAGTCATGATTTCATTGTTTTATATGGTAGTATAGTATTCCATGGTGTATCTATACCACATTTTCTTTATCCAATCTACTATTGATGGGCGTCTGGATTGATTCTATGTCTTCACTACTGTGATAGCACAGCAATAAACATACAAGGGCATGTGTCTTTTTGATAGAATGTGTTTTGTTTTGGGTATATAACCAGTAGTGGGATAACTGGGTGAACCTGCAGCTTTGCTATACGTTCTGTGAAAAATTTCCAGATTTCTTTACACAGTGGCTGAACTAAATTACATTTTCGCCAACAACATATAAGTGTTCCCTTTGCTCTGTGGCCTCACCAGCATCTGTGGTTTTGGACTTTTTAGTAATAGCCATCCCTGACTGGTATCTCATTGTGGTCTTAATTTGCATGTATCTGATGATTAGTGAAAACATAAGTAAGATTGATAGACCCTTTGTTGTATTAACAAACAAAAAGAAAGAGAAGAACCAATTAATCACAATCAGAAATGACAAAGGTGGTATTACAACTGATTTTACAGAAATACAAAAGATCATCAGAGTATTATTAACAACTCTTTGCACACAAATTAGAAAATCTAGAGGAAATGGATAAATTCTTCCTAGAACACAATCTCCCAAGATTGAATCAGGAAAAGATTCAATCCTTGCATAAATTGAAACCTTGAATAGGCCAATATCAATTCCTGAAATTGAATCAGTAATAAAGAATTTACCAACAACCCCATCAAAAAGTGGGCAAAGGATATGAACAGACATTTCTCAAAAGAAGACATTCATACAGCCAACAGACACATGAAAAAATGCTCATCATCACTGGCCATCAGAGAAATGCAAATCAAAACCACAATGAGATACCATCTCACACCAGTTAGAATGGCGATCATTAAAAAGTCAGGAAACAACAGGTGCTGGAGAGGCTGTGGAGAAATAGGAACACTTTTACACTGTTGGTGGGATTGTAAACTAGTTCAACCATTATGGAAAACAGTATGGCGATTCCTCAAGGATCTACAACTAGATGTACCATATGACCCAGCCATCCCATTACTGGGTATATACCCAAAGGATTATAAATCATGCTGCTATAAAGACACATGCACACGTATGTTTATTGTGGCACTATTCACAATAGCAAAGACTTGGAATCAACCCAAATGTCCATCAGTGACAGACTGGATTAAGAAAATGTGGCACATATACACCATGGAATACTATGCAGCCATAAAAAATGATGAGTTTGTGTCCTTTGTAGGGACATGGATGCAGCTGGAAACCATCATTCTTAGCGAACTATCACAAGAACAGAAAACCAAACACAGCATGTTCTCACTCATAGGTGGGAACTGAACAATGAGATCACTTGGACTCGGGAAGGGCGACATCACACACCGGGGCCTATCATGGGGAGGAGGGAGGGGGGAGGGATTGCATTGGGAGTTATACCTGATGTAAATGACGAGTTGATGGGTGCTGACGAGTTGATGGGTGCAGCACACCAACATGGCACAAGTATACATATGTAACAAACCTGCACGTTATGCACATGTACCCTAGAACTTAAAGTATAATAATAATAAAAAATAAATTAAAAAAAAAGTTTCTAGGAAAGCAAATTTAAAGGAATTATGATTGTCTCAATATATGCAGAAAAAGTATTTAATTATAATAAAATATCAAAGAAACTAAAAAAAAAAAAAAAAAGAATTTACCAACTAAAACAGACCCAGAACAAGATAGATTCAGAGTCAAATTCTACCAGAAGAACTGATACCAATTGCTGAAACTATTCACAAAAATCTAAAAGAAGCAGCTTCTTCCTAACTCATGCTATGAAGCCAGCATCAGCCTGATACCAAAATCTGACAGACACATGCAGAAAGCTTCCGACTAATTTCCCTAATGAACATAGATGCAAAATTATCAATAAAATGGGTTCTTTTTTTATTGGGAAAAAAAAAAAAGTAAAAGTAAAAGGAGGTAAGGCCAGGTGTGCCCTTTGGGAAGTTGAGGAAGTAGTTCAGCTTTAGGCCAGGAATTCCAGACTAACCTGGACAACATAGGGAAACCCCATCTCTACTAAAAAAATTTTAAAAAGCAATAGCTGGGTGTGGTGGCATGCACCTGCAGTCCGAACTACTTAAGGTTGGGAGGCTAAGAAGGGAGGATTGCTTGAGCCCAGGAATTTCAGGCTGCAGTGAGCTATGATCTCACCACTGTACTCCATCCTGGACAATAGATTGAGTCCCTATCTCTAAAATATTTTTATAAAGAGGCAAACAGGTATCGTCTGAATTGTTGACTCTTTTGTCCCTTCCAACGTCTTCATATCTTGAATGTGGATGTGTGAAATTCATTAAGAGAGTGTGTGTGTGTGTGTGTGTGTGTGTGTGTGTGTATGAGTCTTGATACGGTTTGGCTGTGTCCACATGCACATATCATCTTGAACTGCAGTTCCCATAATCCCTGTGTGTCTTGGGAGGGACCCAGTGGGAGATAATTTAATCACAGGGGCAGGTTTTCCCATGCTGGTGATAGTGAAAAATCTCACAAGATCTGATGGTTTTATATATGGCAATTCCCCTGCACATGCCCTCTTGCCTGTCACCATGTAAGATGTGCCATTGCTCCTCCTTCACCTTCCACCATGATTGTGAGGCCTTCTTAGCCATGTGGAACTGTGAGTCCATTCAATCTCTTTTTCTTTATAAATTACCCAGTCTAGGGTATGTCTTTATTAGCAGTGTGAGAAAAGACTAATACAAGTCTATTTTGCTTACACTAATTTTGCATATGATTTGTTGAAAATTACTGTAATACTATTACATTGCTCCTAAATAATCATATATTTTTGCCCATTGAAATTTTGCTTTGGAAAAGATTCATATGAATTACATTATGAACATTCACATTTCTATTAATTACTAAAATCTGCTTCTAGAATGTTGGAACTAGAAACTACAGCAAAAAAAAGGGGAATATTTTCTAAAACATATACATTCTATTAATAAATTTCATGGGTAACTTTACTGGCAGATGAAGAGAAGTTGTGATGATAAATAAAGTCAATGTTTTACTGATATCAATATTGATTGTTTAACTGAGTACACTATTTATTTCACTTCAATTTATTATGCCAACTCCTTAGAAAGACTAAGTTAAGGCCGGGCGCGGTGGCTCATGCCTGTAATCCCAGCACTTGGGGAGGCCGAGGCGGGCGGATCACAAGGTCAGGAGATCGAGACCACGGTGAAACCCCGTCTCTACTAAAAATACAAAAAATTAGCCGGGCGCGGTGGCGGGCGCCTGTAGTCCCAGCTACTCAGGAGGCTGAGGCAGGAGAATGGCGTGAACCCAGGAGGCGGAGCTTGCAGTGAGCCGAGATCGCGCCACTGCACTCCAGCCTGGGCGACAGAGCGAGACTCCGTCTCAAAAAACAAAAAAAAAACAAAAACAAAAAAAAAAGACTAAGTTAAAAATATCTTTTTGGTATAGATACAGGAATGTTAGGGCAAGTTTAGAAATAATTTAAAAATTATTCATCGTATTTTTGTGTACATTATTTTCTGCATTAAAATTTTACAGATTTCCTGAAACGTGTTGTTACCTAACTATTGCATACATTAATAACTCTATACGCAAATGTGTCCTGCCACATGTTTGAGGGACCTATTCATGGAATTTGTTCCTTGTCGTTTACAAATAAATTCTAAACACAGTTCAGGTCTCTGTTTCTTATCACGATTTTCTTTCCTATGAGGAACATGAAGCATCAGATTGAATGAAACCTTCCAAGGCCTTTCAGAAGTGTCTCGAAGTCTCCAACAACTGCATCCAGCTACTCATCATTATCAAGGTGAAAATTGAGATAAGGATAGATTCTCTAAGAGATATTAATTGAAAGGAGGAGCTGATGACAAATATAATTACTGAAATCAAATATTTATTCAAAATCAATTTTGTTTTTGTATCTTTTAAAGTTAATGTTTGAATTTGGAAGTATTAAACTAGAATTTTAGAAAACTATAGAAGACAATTCTACTGACAATTCAGTTGTAATTATTTAAAAGTTCCCTTCCTTAAAAATTGACCTCAAGCAGAATTTTAAAAATTCAACTATTATAAATATAAAACTGACACTGTTACAGAGATGCTTATGAATATAAAAAAGTGAATATTACATAAATTCTTTATAAAGTATGTTTTGTTTTTAACAGAATTTTCAGCAAACAATATGCAGTAGTACTTCTAAGTTAAGAGAAGTCATTTTCAGTGACAACTTGGCATTGCTGCCAGCTCAAAGTAAAGTGGCAAAGTTCATTAAGCCGCTTCCTGGACAACTTTGCAATCTGTTGGCTTTTACACCCCTCATCATATCAAAAGGCCAAAATACTTTTTGGCTCTTGAAACATGTTCTGTGACTCTCTAAAACTCCTTGCTGTGGCAGCTTATTCTAGTTAGTGCCCCTTAATCTCCAAGAATACCATTCTCTCTTCCTCAAGCTTAGTTGATAGCTTTATATTCTCAGCATGACTATTCCCTCTTTAGGGTTAAGGATAAAGCAATCTGCTTAGTTTATTAAAGTGTTTCATTCTAAGGTGTAATTTACTGGTAGTCCTACCTGAGTCACTGCAATTTATGAACAATGCAGTGTCTAATGTACTGTTAAATTGTGTTGTAATATTTCATTTTCTTATTTATTATCTATCTCCCCCACTGGAATAAAAGCTCCAAGGAAGAAGGCATCTCTGGTTTTAAGATTCCCCTGCAGTGTCTAGTTTACTGGTCAGCAGTATTCATTCCGTCAGGTTTCTTAAAGAGTAGTAAATGTTAGAAGTTCACAAAAAATTACAGACCACTGTAAGTGATTCTTTTTGTGTGGAAATGACAAAGAAGGTCTATTAGACTATATTTTTAAGGATGCATAGGTTTTGCATAGATTATGTACTCAGATGCTAAAACAGTCCATAGTTTCTACACATCACTGCCTCGCAATCTACACACAGATATGGTACACAGTTAGATTTTCCATATCAGAGCAGTGCATAGGAATCTATGGGTGATTATCTTGACCTGGGGTCTGAAGCAGGAAATGGGGAGTGTTCAGATTGGAGGCACAGGCTGAATTTGGAGAAGGCAGGGAGTTGGTGGGGGTGAGACAGGGAAGTCCTGACTGAAGGTAGACAAAATCAGAGGGTTCATGCTGGGAAGCTCGAATAAATAAGTTGAGTAATTATGTATTTTCCCTATGTAGTCAAGAACAAAATTACATATAATAGGAATAAATATTAATAAATTATATAATGGCTTTTATACACTTGTATTCATTACATCTTTTCTATATTTTCTATATTTTCATAACATTCTATCAAAGGACATGTTAAGTTAATGTATTTGAATGATAATATTCTATTAAAGGAAATGTTCTTTTTTTGCTTTTTATTACATTCTATTAAAATAAATGTTAATTTCTAAAATGTTACATTTTAATGTTCTCAGATAAATTATATTTGTTGTACAATATCTCAAAGAAAAAAATACTAAAAGTTTAAAGCTACAATAGATATTATTCCCTTTTAGTTACTATTTTAATGAATTAATTTTTTTAGTTCCATTTTCTCATACTTAGCAGCTATATAATTTACTGAACAAAAGCAATAGTCATGAGAAATCCAAGTAATAGATTACTGGGCATGTTACTTTGGCATATTTCCACTGTCACACAGACTGAAGTCTCAGTGCTACAATCTAATTAACCAGAATATGAACAAGTAGTACACCTTTTTTATTATAACAATTTCTTGAAAAAAATTTTCTCTGAGTATTCTAATACACCTTTTTTTTCTTAGTCAAGAGCAAAATTATTTCTTATAGTCTGAGATATTTTACTCATCTGAAACCACTTCAGGATAGATAAAAGTCATTTACTGAAAACACTGGATACCTGCATTTTAAAATCCCATTTAAAAAACTGTAAGAGAACAGCAAGTGTAAAGTATGGGAATATTTTTTGAATTTTGCATTAGAAAAACGTGACATGACTACTTACACAATGGTTACATTCAGAAGATTTTGTTTTACTTTTATTTCTTGCCTTTTTAAATTCATACCCACAACTCCAATTTCATGTGTTGTATTTGATTTTAGATTGCTCAAAACAAATTCTTACTGAAATGTGTGTGTGTGTGTGTGTGTGTGTGTGTGTGTGTGTGTGTGTAATATAGGCAACTTTACACCTCAACAGATTTATTAAAACAGTATCAAACCAGTATAATTCTAAATAATTTCACCATTAAAATATTTCAAAAATTATCTTATAACATAAAAAATGAACAGATTCTTTTTACAATATCTGTAGCCCCAAAGTAGAATGTAAAATGTTTCCTTTCACCTTTCTAGTTCCAAGAAATGAGGGATGAAAATAAAACATATAGTGAAGAGCAGTCTTATGTGCACAGTCTTTTGAATGTTACCCAGCCATATAGGAAGAGACCATGGGCCTGGAATGCTTCCTCAACAAGAGATAAAGAGCCTGCACATGTGTGTCAATGGTCCTTAGACACACCCTCAGCTTCAGCATTTCAGATTCCATGCAGTGTGAGTCAAGGTCTTTGTACTGTGGTTTTAGAGGTGTGCACGTAGGGTAGTTGCTCTGAGTTGTGGGGGGCACCAACCATGGGAGATCTATGCATGCAACAGGGATTTGTCTCCCTCTGTTTTGTGTACATGAGTAAAAGCACTCTTCCATCCCGTGATTGACTGTGTTGTGTTCACCGTGGTGACTCTAATATCAAGATGAATTGGACAGAAGTATTTGGACTTCTGGTCCTGGTGGTTGACATAAAACTTTGCATGAAGAACACTGGCCTCTAACTAAAGGTATGTCAGTCATATTCAAAGAAATATAGCAAAAATAAATCTGCATCTCAAGTAGAATAATCATCTCAGGTTAAATCGAGTTGTTTTTAATATTATCATACGGGTTAACTAACCCAAGTTTAACATATGATGAGTGTGATTTGCCAAAAAGAAAAAAAAAATATATATATATATAGTGCAAGTAAGTACAGGGAATTGAAGGTCAATAGAAAAATCTTCACAGCCATTATGTCAATCTCTTGCAACATTCCAGAGCTGAGCTCTCCAAAAGAAATACAGTATGAGACATAAATGTGGGTCATATATGTAATTTTAAGTTTTGTAGTAAAAAAGTAAAACAGAAAATTATTTCAGAATGTTAAATATATTAAACTTTATTTTTCGTTCATATCATATATTTTATTCTACTATATAGATTTGCTTAACGAAATAATATTTATTCTTCATTTTGCTATATTTGTTTTCTAATATTGAGATCTGTGACACTTATATAGCCAGTATTGTTATAATTATTTAATTTCCACAACATAAAAATCTGAACATAGACGGTGAAGTTGTTTTCTTTAGGGTGCAGAATCTAAAAGAGCTAAAATATTTAATGCTACATAAATGGTAATGATCATAATATAAGATCTGAAATCTAGATGCCATTCCCATAACATCCAGACCTCACTTAATTCAGTACAGATGCTTTAAAGGCAAGTGGAAAGATACGTTTTCAATTGCAAATTTCCTTAGTTATTTCAGTTTTATTTTCTATTTTGTAAGAAGCCTGAACTTTATTTTAGGAGTCCATTGCCATGTCAAAGCCTCAGCTTATCACACGATGTGAGAACTAAGGGAAATCAACTAGGAAAACATTCATTGGCAGAGAAAGCTGACTGATTAGAACGACAGATGGGAAAAGCAAAACTTAAATCCAGGGATTTCTGGCCAGCTAACAACCTAGGAGATATTTCAGAAAGACCGGAACAAGTTGTTGACTTGGAATCAGTGAATATGTAACATCATTCCAACAGAATCTTGATTTGAGTAAATAATTTAAAAGCTAAGCACATAATTTACACAGTGAATATGCCACAGAAAGATGGCTGGGAATTTGCAATATATATACTCATAGCACTTGATGCTGGTTATGCTTATATATGCATAGATTACTGTATTGATATAAATGACTGAGATTGACCACTGTTACTAAAAGTTCTCATTTTTCCTTATTTAAACTATGTTAATAGGTACAGAACAGAGTAATCAGTCACATTTATATCTACTTGTTTTACTGATGAAACTAAGATGCAAACCAATACAACTGAAAAGATATTCATTCAAAGTATTGCTAGTATTGCGATATACATAGTTATTCACAAGACAAAGGTGAGAGAGATCACAGTTTAAGTGTACTCTGTGAATACTTATAGTTAAAAATAATTATATATCTCTAGCCTTAGACAAAACTACTAGAGGCATTATCTACAGAATAAGGTTCAAAATTATAATAACATAAATAAATTTCAACACAAGAAAAATGAAGATAAAAGTTTTAACACATTTTATCTGAACAATCTAAATATTTCAGGCACAAGCCTTCTTTTTTTTTTTTTTTTCCTATTAACATAGATATATTCTAAAATGTCAAATACTGGGTCTGAGTAGTTACAAGTGTTCATTTTTCTCTATCGAGAAAAATATCCCTCCTTTGTTACATTCTGATCATTAGGGAAGGCTAACTTGTTTTTTGTATTTCACCATGTTTCTTTATATTTGCCTGTTTTTAGGTTCAAGACCTTGTCAGGTTAAAAGGTTCACATTAAGGTAGTTTGTGTAGGAAAAGAACTAAAGCTGCATAATTTGCCCTAAAAATGTTTCTGCAATCTGGGCTAAGCTACTCAATTTTTAATTTTTTTTTCTTTTTATATTTATTTATTTATTTATTTATTTATTTGAGACGGAGTCTCGCTCTGTCGCCCAGGCTGGAGTGCAGTGGCACAATCTCAGCTCACTGCAAGCTCCGCCTCCCGGGTTCCCGCCATTCTCCTGCCTCAGTCTCCGGAATAGCTGGGACTACAGGCGCCGCCACTAAGCCCAGCTAATTTTTTGTATTTTTAGTAGAGACGGGGTTTCACCATGTGAGCCAGGATGGTCTCGATCTTCTGACCTCGTGATCCGCCCGCCTTGGCCTCCCAAAGTTCTGGGATTACAGTGTGAGCCACCACGCCCGGCGGCTACTCAGTATTCATGTGGGAGAGAAGAGGTGTTGTAGATGACATTGAAAAACACAAGGAAGAGGCATGCAAAGCTAACTTCGCAATTTCAGTTTCACGAAGTTCTTATACAAATAGAAGTCTGTCTGTTTTTGAGTTATGAATATAAAGGTTTTAATGTAATAACTCCTATTATGAAGCTTGTCAATATTTTGTGGAAATATAGGTTACTACTTGACCAAAAAATAGAAGTAGCTCTTTAGGGGCAAAATTAAAAAGAAGAAATAAAAATATTCAGGAGACTAAAAGCCAGAAATCTAAAATTTGATTTGCTTTTCTAAACAAAAATGATCTATTCATTCTAAGTAGATGTTCATATTCAGTTACGATTTGCTGGCATATTACTAAATTCCAGTTTTCTGTCTCCTCGATATGGGGACTGAAAGTAAGCTGGCGCTTGAAAAACAGAAAGCTGATATTTTAAAGTAGATGAAGTTTCATCAAAAATAAAAGTAGTCGGTGGGGCACAGTGGCTCACTCTTGTAATCCCAACACTCTGGGAAGCAGAGGCAGGCGGATCACAAAGTCGGGAGTTCGAGACCAGCGTGACCAACATGGTGAAACCCCATCTCTACTAAAAATACGAAAAATTAGCCGTGCATGGTGGTGCTTGCCTGTAATCCCAGCTACTCAGAAGTCTGAGACAGGGGAATCACTTGAACCTGGGAGGCGGAGGTTGCAGTGACCTGAGATAGGGCCACAGCACTCCAGCCTGGGTGACAGAGCAAGACTTCATCTCAAAAAATTAAAAAATAAATAAATAAATACTTTGATTTAAAAGTAGTCAAAAGAACAATAGCACCACACAGAGAAGTTTTTCTCTGAGGTGACAGCACTGATAGTGTAATGCCCAGACCGTTTGTTCCCCAAAGACCACCACCAGAGTCCAGAGTCAAAGCCAAGCGGCAAGGATCTTTTATTGCAAGTTCGAACTTGGTCCCTCCATTCCACAGCATACAAGAGGGCCCCGAACAATGCGAGTGCTTGCCTTTTATAGCCCGAGGTAAATAGGATAGTAAAGTTACAGAGGAACAAGGGAATTCTCTTGGTTACAGCATTACAATTGGTTTCCATTTTAAGTTATACATTTAGTAGTTTTTCTATTGGTTCCCGCGGTTTCAGTAAAACTTTAAACGGCTGTGTCCTTATCGGGGATTTTCCAGGTGGTGTTTGTACTGGGCTTAGGAAGTTGAGAGATATATGGTGTTTGTACTGGGCTCAGGAAATTGAGAGATATATGGTGGGATGTGTTTGTACTGGGCTCAGGAAGTTGAGACATATATGGTGTTTGTACTGGGCCTGTTTGTATTGAGCCCGGGGCTGAGGAATGTGCCTGATTTCTTTCAATAGGTTCTATAAAAAGTCTAGTTTCCTCTACTAATTTAATATTTCTTCATGATCCAAATATCACTGGTTCCGTATATGACCCTTTAGTCTTCTAGCTTTAAATTCAACAAGTGAGGTACATTATGAAACCCAAAACAGTTAAAATAATTTTTGAACTGGCAAATAATGACATGAAAAAATAAACATTTTGTATATTGTTTGGACAATATATAGATAATAATGTTACAGAGAACAATTTGATAACAGAAACTGTAGCCTGTTTAAAAAAGGAAGTCAACTTAATTAAATGGAAACTGTGAGGAAATGTAAAAATTATTTACATAATGTATTGCAAAGCTTCCATTTTACACATGAGAGAAATTTAAAGAACACTAAATACTTAGGACTCTAAAACTAGAGGAAATCTTACATTTGCTTACAAATGAGCTAAGCAAAGTTCTGAAATGAGAGTAAATGTTGCCATGCTCACTCCCTGAAACGTAAACTACAGATCTCCTCAGATAATTTCCTACCATTCAATGTAAGTAGATTCAAGGATCCCCTTGCAGAACTGCGCCATTACCTAATTACAATAAAACTGTTCATGTTCATGAAGAACTGTGAAATGTACCAAATAGCAGTAAGGAATAAGAAAATCTGTTTCAGACAGAAAAATAAATCATTCCAAACTACACGTACTGTTAGTCTCATCAGACAGATCTTTAAATACAGTGAAATCCCCGAAATTTGAGACTTATTCTTTGCTCCCTAAATAAAGCAACAAAATTGATAAGTTTTGAGCTTTTTATCCTGAGAAATGTCTTTGACTTCTTTCTAGAGGACTGTATAAACTACTATAATAATAATAAAAAAAAAAGCAATTGTTTCTATTTCCAAATCTCTTCATAATGCAGAAATATTACAATTTGCTTACTTTTATTAACATAAATATTACTTCATCAATTCAATTACTAAAGTTAATTTAATATTTTAATTAATTAGTACCAATTTAATATCTTAAATTAAGACATTTATATATAGTAATCTCATTTCAATTATACTTTTCCTTTTTCATGATTAAAATTTTCTCTGTACAAATTATATTATTTTCTATAAATATATTTGTTGCATAAAAATATGATCTCACATGGTAAACCTTAGTAACCACAGACATTAACCAGAAAAAAAAATGAATAAATAACCTGTATGAGTATATAAGTTGGAAAATAATAAAAGAAACCTTATCTATTCTAATAAGTATTAATATATATTCTTAGTTGTTCTTAATA